TGTGTGGATTAACCAGCAGATTTGCCCCGTGTGATAACGTCCCATGTTTTGAGATCTTCTGGGGATGCCCTTCTCTGTTGTACTACTCTCAGGTATATCCCAGGGGAACACAGGAGAGGGATTTTTTGGTTGCTGCTCCCAGGCTCTGTTAATATTAGGGTTATAAATTCTAAATTAATATTAGGGTTATAAACACGACCCGCATGTTTAAACCAAAGGTTTGCCTTAGGGTTGTCATAAGTCAGAAACACCCTGAAGGCAAGCTACAAACACAAAGCCCATATTAAGCAGAAAGGAGTAATTATTATATCTTGCTGTTTTCCTAATAAGGTGTCTTTGCAACACTTAAACACAGCTAAAAATTCAAAACATATAAAAGTTAAAACTTCACAGAGGTTAGACTAGCACCCTCCTTGCTAAATTTCTGCTGGCAAGTCAAGACTGTTTTGCTTCTGCAAGAATATGAAGACTCGGTGGGAAAGGGCCATGCATAGTGTGCTATATTTTCTATTTTCCTTTTAATGGCTTTTGTTTTATATGTTGAGATTTTCTTTTAGCTGTGTTTAAGTGTTGCAAAGACACCTTATTAGGAAAACAGCAAGATATAATAATTACTCCTTTCCACTTAATATGGGTTTTGTGTTTGTAGTGTGCCTTCAGGGTGTTTCTGACTTATGAGGACCCTAAAAGCAAACCTTTGGTTTAAACATGTGGGTCGTGTTTACATATAACTGTAATACTACTTTTGGAGTCCTTTCTCTCAAGAGGAAAAGTGTATGGTGGAAATGCTTGAACATTTTACAGAGTAAAAAGGTCACACAAGGAAAACTGATCAGGAATGCATCACGGCTGCAGTGCCACACTGCAGAAATAAAGCACTTTGACACCACCTTAACTGCCATGACTGAATGCTATGGAATTCTGGGATTTATAGTTTTGCGTGACATTTAGCCTGCCTTGTCAAAGAGCGCTAGTGCCCCACCAAACTACAAATCCCAGAATTGAGCCATGGCAGTTAAACTGGTGTCAAACTGAATTATTTCTGCAGTGTGGATGGACTCCTAGTCCAACAGACAGCTACAGCACAGTGGCTCCTGGTGGATAATGGGGCCAGCCTTTCTAATCTTGGTGAAGTTCTGGTTCTCTTTGATACATTTTGGCCCTGGTTTATGAAGAGGGCTTGCCATTGCCTTCCCCTGAGGCTGAGAGAGTGTGACTTGCCCAAGGTCACCCAGTAAGTTGTTTAATGGTTGAGTGAGGAAATGAATCCTGGTCTCCAGAGCCCTTGTGGTCCAACACCCAAACCACAACTCCACCATGGCTCTGGGTTCGCTTTAGCTATAAGTTGGAAGGGACTAGAAGGTAAACAAGACACACATATTTTATTTATAAAGACCAGCAGAATCCGCAGCAGTCTGAAAAGGCTGCATCTACACTGCAGAAATAGTCCAGTTTGACACCGCTTTAGCTGCCACGGCTCAATGCTAGGGAATTCTGGGCTTTGTAGCTTTAGGAGACACCTAGCCGCCTCTGTGGGAGCAGCTCTGGCGCCACCACATACAACAAATCCCAGGATTCCGTAGTAGGATAGAGCCAGGGCAGTTACAGCGACGTCAAACTGTATTAATTCCGAAGCGTTTCAGAAGCCATTTTGGCAAGTCAGGGTTCCTAGGCAACAGAAGCAGAGGAACGCCGCCTTTAAATACGGCGCCTCCCTTTAAGAGCGGTCGGAGGATACTTTTTCACCCGCCTCGCCTTTACTCCCAGAAGGGAAGAGGAGGCGCGGTTCGTTGGCGTCGGGCATTTCTGCGCATGCTCCGGTTGGAAGAGGCAAGGCGGAAAAGAAGAGCGTGGTATTTATAGAAGGTAGAGAAGGTGGGGAGGATGCGGGTTCCGCTTCGCCATTGTGGCTTCTTGAATGGCTTCCCTGAGCATTGGTTTTAGAACTAAAGCAGAGTGCAAAAGAGAGGCAGCGTGGCGTAGTGGTTTGAGCGTTGGCCTAGGACTCTGGAGATCGGGGTTCGAATTCTGGCTCAGCCATGGGAACCCTCTGAGTGACCTTGGGCGAGTCACACTCTCTCAGCCTCAGGGCAAACCACCTCTGAGCAAATCTTGCCAAGAAAACCCAGTGATAGGTTCGCCATAAGTCATAGGTTCGCCATAAGTCAGAAACAACTTGAAGGCATAAAACAAGAACAGAGTAAAAATGCTAGCAAGGGAATATATATATATGCTAGCAAGGGAATATATAAGGTTGAACATTATATATATAATGTTCAACCTTATTTTAATTAAGCATTTTGGACTTAAAAGCAAAAGCAAAAGCATTTGACAGGCTGAATACCAACAATAGCAACCCAGTATTGCTATTACTAGTAAATGAATTATTTTATTTTATTAAAATTGGGAATTAACTGTTTGTTTATTATATGAGGCAGGTATTAGCGCCAGGTAAAGACTTTTTTGTGCCGTCAGGCCTTTTAAGTTGATAAGGGCTGGGTTTTAAGTGTTGTTCTATGTAACTTTTAATGGCTTATATTCTTAACATGTTATTCTGCTGGTCAATGACCGAATAAATTTTACTTCTCAAACTGGATTATTTCTGCAGTGTGTTTTGGACCTTACTTTGTCAGGTTTTTTTAAAAGTTAAAAAATTGCAGTTTTGTTTGTTCAGCAATATTAATTTGTTTCTTTATTGTCTCCTAGGTCCTGGCTGAAGTAGCAGATAGCTAGAGGCTGGAGGATAATGGGGAGATTGAGATGTTCCCTGGGCTGACCCAGTCTAAGGATAAGAATGGCTAACCCATTCCCTCAGCTGCTCATTGCTGCAGCTCGACATCATCTCAGAATAAGAAAGAAGAAAAGCTTATCCTCTTCTGCCTCCTTGAGCCTGGCTGGGGAGATTCATGCAGTAGCTGCTGGTCTGAAGCCAGCTTTCCTGTATGATTACAGTTCTGCTGGCATTTCACAGATTGTGAACTATGTTCAGGAACTGCAGACCATCAGTCAGTTTGGATGCCGGTTACATGTTCTGAGCCTAGCTGAAAATGTTCTGATTATCAACTTGGAAATGATGCAGCTGTGGCTGGAAACTGTCCTACTGAAGAACAATGTTCCCTTCATTGATGTTTCCGCTTCTAGAACTTGTCCAGGCTTTTGTGAAGCAGAAGATGTGAATCTCATAAAAGGCCACCTGTTTGAGATACTGAGTCATATTAAAACACAGACAGCAGATACATCCCAGATGCTTTCATCTAGCACCATCTTCTCTGTTGAATGTAATCTGTGCACTCTTTTTGGTGTTTTGCTGGGCTATCCAGCAGCCTATAGTTTTCATGCTCAGAAGAGCTTTGAAAACTGCCTGTCTCTAACCCCACTGAGGGTGTTCACTATCCAAGCCACATTCTGTAAGATAAGCAGTGACTTCAGGGTCCGGTTTTATTCTTTCAGTGTCCCAGAGCTTTTATATCCTGTCTTGAAAACAAGTCTCAATACGTGGTGTGAAAATCTCAAAGATGCTTTCAGAGGTCAAAAGTACTTTGCAGATCTCAGTATTTCGACAGAGGTTGTTGCTGAAGTAGCAGTGACCTTGTAAATATAGACCATGTTCCAGAGGCACATGCCCATTTTAACTCACAGGACTCCATTAAATAAACAAGTGCAAAACCTTTGGAATGTATGGTTTCATGCTATTGAAAGGAAAGAAAATGTTTGTGCTATTTTTTTCTTTTCACAGTTATCTGCTCACTGCGCAACTATTGAAAATCTATGTCTAAGCTGTGTGTTTTGAGGCAGTTGTACATTTGGTTACTAATGTAATGCCCTCTTCAATTCATAGGAAGAACTCATTACAAATAATTGAGTTTTTTTCACAGAGATGAGCACTGAGCCTGATTTGCAACTGGACAAGCAGTGTCTAACGGCTGTGAGCTTTTAAGGTTTTCAAAGGTGTAAGGCTGACATAACTGCATTAGTTGATACAAAATTTTGTGGTACGAGGATTCATCAGATGAACAGACACGCTACCATTTTAAAATGTAGACTTTAATAATAATAAAAAGGCAGCCACCAAATTCAGCAACACAGAAACTCAAGCAGTCAAATCCCTTTAGCAGAACTTTAGCAGTTCCAAATTCTATACAAAATTAAAAACACTTCAGTACAAAAATAATTGCATTCTGTAGTTAATTGTAGAATGTCCTGATGAAACACGAGCAAAATTCCAAAGAAGGTAAACTCAAGGTATGAAGTTGACTAAGTAAGTTACCAGAGCCATTGCCATGACTACCATTAGGAGAGAGATCCAATGATCATGTCTTCTCTGAGAGAAAGATGAAACCTAGTGAGATAATAAAACAAATTAGTGAATAGTGTGCACATAGAAACACCTAATTCCTCCATTTGTTCCAGGAGTTATATTGAGCTCTCACCTATACTCTTTGCTTTGCATTTTCTGACTTAGGGCAACCCTAAAGTAAGTTTATCACAGGATTTTCTTGGCCAGATTTGTTCAGAGGGGATTTGCTATTGCTTTTTCTGAGACTGAGAGAGTGTGACTTGTCCAGGGTCTCCCAGTGGGCATTTTTAGCTGAGCAGGGATTCAAACAATCTCCGGAACAGTAGTACAGAGCTCAAAATACTACACCAGCTCTTGGATTACATACTTTTAGCTAATGATAATTCCTGCTCTGCAGTATTTTAAAAACTGTTGTAGCCTGCTGTTTGTGTTCAAGCCACATAAATGCTCATTTTTAAAGTTCAGCCTATGGGCATTTAGAAGCTAGGAAGCTTTATTTTGATATCTTTGCAGATCAAGGCCTAAACCCAACATCTGTTCCGCCTCCCGCAGCTGTCTCCACTACTCCAAAATGTGTTCTGGAGGATTCACATGATGGAGGGAATTGCAGTGGGAGTGGGATCACACCCCTCCCAGTTCCTCTGGTGAATCCTGGGATAGTGAATGCTAGTCTTTATCATAATAGAGCAGAAGAAAATAGATATTCAAAGAAAACTGTTCCTACTTCGTCCTGTTTGATGTGGGAGTGATTGAGATCATCTCGGCACTGTTGTAACTTGGCAAGGCAACTGTGATACTCTTGACTCAGGATTTCTAGTTCATGGCGGAGATCGGTGCACTGCCAAGAAAACACATAGGTGTTCAAGCAAATGGCTTTATTACCTCCCCACCACCATGTAAGAGGCCAACAGTTACCAAAAGCACATGATGGTGACACCTTGAGCATCAAACCCTCACAGTGAATTTACTCCCCTAACTTTAGTCACTTGTACCATCTCTGTACCATCTCTTTAGCTCTCACAAAACTGTTAAAATATACCTGGTACTTTTTTTACAAGTGATCTTAAAATATTCCTGTTCTTTAAAGCCAAGAGCAAAATCATGCAAGGTTAGAAGAAAGTATTTCTTACTTGAGTGATGTCTAGTTTCTTAAAGCTGAATTGTTTATTTTGGAGACCTATGTTTTCTTTTGGATAGAGATACTCTTAGAGAAGTAATATCCCGTCTTCTGGGTTCTAGTGATCAGTGGAGACATTTTTCATCATGTGGAACGCTACTAATCTTGAAACACATACAATACATCCTGATGTCCTCATGGGAGAACTTGTAAGGATAGCTCACATACCAGTCTTCTGTATGCAAAGGGATCTTGTAGCACTCTTGATAACAACTGGACAGAGGTTGATAGCATGAGTTTTTGTAAACTTGAGCCTACTTAGATGCATGGGGCCTCCCAGCTTCTTTCTTTCAGTGAGTCTCAAGGGTGCTACAAGATCCCTTTGCATACTGATTTTCCAGATTTGCATGGTTATTTCTTTGAATTCTAACAACTCATGTTTGGTTTTTGAGTAGTTAAAATATAAAAACTTGGTGCTGCTATGACATGTGCCAAGGGGGTTATAAAGATTAGTGATGTGATATTTAGAAGACTGGGATTTTAGCAATTCTGGTGAGGGTTTGGAAAAATCATGTTTTGTTCTCCATACAATGGAATTTCTAGGCAGCTATCTAACCTTCCACCTTCTGGGGCATAATGTGCAGATGTTCGTGATTTGGAAATATGGTAGTGAGTGAACACTTTTCAGATCAAAACTTGTTTATTATCAGATGTTTTAAGTGGCTATCATCAAATGCCTGTTGCCTGACAAAACAGCTATCCAGAAAGTTCATGTCTGCATTCAAAGACATTTGAAAATAGCAAGTAATCCTGTAATGAGCTCCTTTAATCACATTAGCTGCTTGAGTCAGCTCCTCACCTCTTTTTCCTTAGCACTGAGCAGGATTGTTCTCTTTTGTAGCTGATCCTCCAGGTTGCTCTCTCTCCCCACTTTGTGCCCCTTTGACTGGGCATTCTGCTTTGGTTTAGCTGAACTGAAGACTGGAGTGCACCTTGTGATGATGCCCTGTTCTACAAAAACAGTCGAACTTTCATTAGAATCTTATCTTTTTATGTTAAGATCTTTCTTTACCTCTCTACAAGATGATTGCCTCGGACAGAGAATGCATTAATTAAAACCAATTCTTCATGGAACCAAAGTAGCCCATGAATTTGGAAAGCAAGCTGGTTTTTCCAAAGATCTGATGACATTAGAGTGTATAGTTAAAGCATATTTCAAGTGAATAAAATCTAGTCAATTTGTCCAAAGGTTCTGATATTTAGCCTATTCATGTCCTTAGCACCATAGTTTTAAGATTCTGTTTTGCTTCAGTGAAACACTGCTAACAACTTTTTTTCTTTGTCTCTTTAAATGCACCCAACATTTCAAGGAAAACATAGGGCCTTTCTCTTCCTTTAAAGGCATTTTTAAAAGTAAAAACCCATAGTGACTTTATGAGCAATGCCCCTCCACCACCACCACTTGTGGGACTTTTCTTAACAGTTTTCCACTGCTAATGGAATTACTCCAGTTTGTCTTTGAACAATGCATGAATGCATTTTCTCTACCCTTAAAATTTAAAGTATAAATTATAAATATAATCAGAATGCCTGTCAGTGCATGTTCAGATCCTATTTAACCAGTTT